AGGAAAATGGCCACGGACCGCGTGGCACGTGCGGAAAAATGGCCGCGGACCATGTGGAACGGGGGGGAAATGGCCGCGGACCACGTGTCACGGCGGAAAATGGCGTGGATCCAGTTCATATCCCGAGGTAAATTTTTCGGCCGGAGCTGGTCGCAACCCGAAAAGTTTGTTAGCAGAGGCGTTCGTAACCCGAGGTACCACTGTATCTTAAGTATGCCTAAGTGTAACACTAAGTTCATGGAATGCTAGGACTGCCATTAACCACAACATCAAGTTTAATTCTCAGACTTAAAATCAATATGGATATCAATGTTCACCCCATTGCCAATATGAATTTTCAACTCTATATTTGCCCTGACTATGCAATCTCGCCCACTAATAAAGAGAGAAACATCATCCTCACCACATTAAAAACCTAAGACTGGAAGAACAAATGAAATTGAACTCTACAGCCAATTCACACAATTAAAATCAATATAGATCTATACTGAGCCTAACTGTAACTCCACGTTCAACATATTGCCAATAGGAATTTTGTACTGCTGTTATTATGCAATCTGTGCCACATGACAAAATAGTGCCAGTATGCATAAAACCTAATCCTGAAGAATAAGTCCCACATGGCATTTAACAACTGATATCTCTTAGGTTAGACTAAGTACACCAAAATCCCAAAGGGGATCACTAACACCAAGCGCTAAGGGCAAATACTAACCATACTGTATTGGAAACCTAAGACTCCAGAAACCAATTATATTGAATTCTAATCCTCAGATTTAAAATCAGCATAAACTTCATAGGATACTAATTCTGATCTTGTTCAGTCTATTGCCAATATGAACTTTATAGGCTAAGCTTGCCTTGGCTACACACAGGAGAAATTAATGCCACCTCTATCCATCAAACCTCACCCTTACTCTATCCTTATTGATAAACTGAAGTGAAGGAAAACCTATCCCTAACCAAAGTTTACTGAAAACTGAGTAGGAATTTCATAATCTAAGCTTGTCCCTGTTTCACAATCTGCAGTACAGCATAAAAAGACGAATGCTATGCATAGAGGATTAATGTGAAGCTGTTGCAAGAGATTTAACAACAGATCTCAACTAAGTTTAAACCTGACCCAAAGTTCACCCTGTTGCCAATAGGAAATTTTATTTTAAACTTTATCAAGTCACACAATCTTCACTGTAGCTTTGAAGCATACATAACATAAAGCTTTGCCAAGCATAATAATTTAACATTTAAGGTAAACGTCAAACTAAATTTTAAAAGTGGTCTCAAAGAAGCTGAACTATCAATAGGATTTTTTAAATTCTACATTTAACTCAAGCATTCAATTCCCACAGAAGGGTGGATAACTGTTTACTTTTAATGATCTGTATCTGCTAAGCATGTGTACTGTTCTATGTTGTCCAGGCTTGACTATGAAAAAAATGGGCAATATCAAATATTTTGGATAAATTTAATAATGCCATATAATGCCAATTCCAGTTACAACACCTACGTCTCCAGATATTAACACTAAGGAGCAAACTTTGCAGCTGAAACAAATGAGATTCAGGAACAGGAAATCAGTATCTTGCCCTATGTTTGTCTGCTTAAAATGTAATTTCACTTACTCCTTCCTTTTAGCAATATCACTTTTTCAATCATAGGAGATAAACTAAAATCATTAGTTTCCCAAAATTTGGTAAAACTGAATGAGTGTTAGGGCATCTCCTTAAATAGGAAATAGCAACAATATTTATCAATTAAAACACTCAGAGCAGTGTGGTTAATAATACAACACTTTTCTGTATTATTATTTGATTCAACTTACCTACGAAATGGTGGAAACCCACATAACAGTATGTATGTAATGACACCTGCAGCCCAAATGTCCACCTTTAAGCCATAACTACGAAAGGAAGAAAGGAAGGGAGGGAGGGGAGGGTTACAATTTGAATTTATTACGCATACATGCATTAAAACTGATCACTAGACGGTTCTGAAGGCACTTTAAACTATAATTTTAGCATTCTAATACTTTGCCATGCATCTAGAAATCACTGAAGATTACATTTATATTGATGGAAAATAATTAATCATGGTTTACATGCCGTATGTTGACCTGCATATGGTTTGGCATTACATATGGCAAAACATATGAGATTTTGATGGTATAATAAAATATTATGAAATATCTCACATTAATATGAAATCATTGCATAGTGTTATATGAAGCTCTGTTTACATAGTGTATTTTCTTCTTCTCCCCACACTTTTCTTATTTATTTATTTAATTCAATTTATATAGTCACCCATCTCATATACATGATTCTGGGCAGCTCTCTAAATTCTATTCTTTATTTTTTTTTATTTATTTTTAAAGAGTGAAGTAGGAAAAATAAAAAGAAGGAAGAACTGGAAAGAAGGAAAAAGTGGGAAGGAAAGAACACCTTAAAGGTTTTGTAAAATATGAAAATTATGTAAGATTTTATTAAATGTTAAGTGAAAAAGAAAAAAAATCACTATTATAATTACAAATGTCATTAAATTGGAACAGAAATAAATATAATAATGAAACAGTTTGGCACTTTAAGAACTAATAGTAAAGTCACGTCAGAGATCAAGAAAAACAGCCTAAACTATAAGAATTAACTGTCAAAATGATAAGAATTAACAAGAATTTATAACAAACCTGAAGCATTTCATCCTTAATTATATGACCAGACAGAATACAGTATTTTAAAACCTTATGTTGAAAGAAACCCTAACTGAAGTCTACATGAAGAAGTCTACATATAGAATTATAGTCCATAAACAGTTTCCAAATTAGGCTGAAGTATCAGTATTTTTTTTTAAGATATAAAGCTATTTTGACATTGCTGCATAATCCCAAATTTAATTTGCCAATCATCTAATAAAGCAATTTGATGTAATTTCCAATGGAAAAGATACAGTTTCTTGGCAACAGTGTATGTATGTATGTGTGTGTGTGTGTGTGTGTGTGTGTGTGTATGCATGTAAGTAAGTAAATAAATAAATAAATAAATAAATAAATGCCAATTCTGTAGAAATGTAATGCTTGGTGACACCTAACAGCAAAACAACTGGAAGAAAGTAAAGTAAATATTTAAAATTTGTTTCATTCTATTATGAATCATCTTCCAAAGTTGCTGAGACTTGTAGCACTGCCACCAGATGTTGAAGAATGATCAAATATGATTATTACATTTCCAGCAGTTATTTTAATTATGTAGTATCCATTTTAGCAACTAGAGTAATATGCCAACAAAAAAATACCAGTTTTCCCTAAGTGGCTTTTCTAATATTCACAGTACATTAAATATTTACCTTCCATTGATACTCCCATTGCTGTATATCCTGTCTAAATTTGGTATCCATTTAATTATGCAGTCTTTGACTTGTTCAGTTTCTGAATCATATTTCAATTACAATGTATATATATTGTATAAAACATTCTAACAGATGTTTTGAGTTTTGTATTTTAAGCTTTTCAAATTCAGTGAAATCTCTAAATGCACCACTTTGTCTTTGTAGTTCCTTTGAACTATGCTGCTTATTTGACGATATTGAAACCAATGTGGCATTCTTGACCATATCAAGAAAAGAGTCTTGGATGATTTCATCTTTTTTAAATTAAAGGTTAAACCTTGCGGTCTGTGCCTCCACTGATCAATTTTTAGCATGCTTGCCTTTATTAAAATAAATATTTAATATTGAAGCAAGAGAGGATAATCTGGGCTTATTATTTTTAATATTTGTCCCCTGGTATTAACAAGCTATATATAATTGAATAGGTCCCTTATGCATTCAGCCTTTCTATTTGTATCAATCAGAAATTGAAAAAGTTCTATTTAGTTAGTAGCTCCAAACTTAAGATTATACATGACTAACCAACTTCCAATATTTGCAGAATTTGAAAAGCTGAATTTTGCAACAGACTGTTACACTATCTAAATCAGCCAAGTTCTTAGAATAAATTAAACCGGTTAATCACAATCTCTGTTCAGACAATTAAACACAAATAATATATAGCTTTAAAAAATAATGTTAATATTGTTTGTGAACTAAGCACAACAAAACCCTATTTTAAAAATGAATTCTCACCCTGTTTCTGCAATGATTTCTGGAGCAACATAAGTTGGTGTGCCACAAACTGTATAAAGAGGTCCTTCAACCACAGTGGCTAATCCAAAGTCTCCTAGTTTCAAGGATTTTGTCCCATCTGGATATTCACAGACCTGAGAGGAAAAAAAGGAGTAAGATCATAATTCATATTGCATACCTTTATAGGAACAACACCTAGTAATACGGATAGGCAGTCTAGGATACTATGGATGTATTGAACTAGAACGCCTATTTAGAAACAAGTAGCACACATTCTTTTCATTACACTACCTTTTGAGTAGCTAAGCTGCAGCACAGCAATTCTTAAAAGAAGACCTACAACTGTGTTTACACATCAGTTTAGTGCGATGAGAACAAACAAAATTACACCGCAGAAAATCCAAGATATGCATAATTTTGTCCGTAATGCTGTTTAGAGAAAAAGGCTGGATGTTTTTATGGCTGAACTAAACCTAGCCATACTGTCTGAATCTGCAAATTATACCTAATCTTCTATCTTGTTGATTTCAAACTAGCTTGTCAGCCCTATGAGGGAGACCAGAACAGGAAACCAACTTCATAGGAAAACTAGAACTATGCTACAGTAACAGAAACTTGCAAGTCTAATTGTATTTTTTCCCTCTTATACCCAAGTGAGCCAAGGAAGAGCCAGCTGAGCTTCTTCCCAAAGCTACTTACTTTCCCAGGGCTTAAGGAACATTTCTGCCCTTTTTGTTTAAATAATGGTTTCTGAATACTAGCCTCAAGGCAATCTCCTTGGCTGTCTCCAAGTCTTAAACTATTCAAGATTAAGAATAATTTCCAATCCATATGATATGACAATCTTTGATTATAAAACCAAATATTTACCAGCCATATGTAAAAAATAGACAAAAGAAGTAGTAGATTGGTTCTACTTTTTACATGTGATATATATAAAGGCCTCCTAAATCTCACTAGTAAGTAGACTCAGCTTTGCAGAAAATGTAAATATTTTCAGTGAAAGAATACTTTCCTAACCTGTGGAGAAACCAGCAATTATTAAATGTAAAACATAGTTACTGATATATGTAAAGTTGAGATCAAATTTAAATGGATGACTAGATCTCTGGAAAGTTTGTAATATATGAAATCTATAGTTCTTAAGACCTTGGACACAGTTGCAAAGGTTGAAAAGATTGAAAATCATATTTCAGCAACAGTTTGAAAGTTAATATCCTTGATATTTATATTGATAGAAACATCAGAAGAAAATAATTCAGTTGGAATTCTGATGGTTACTCTAAAATTATTTGTTCTGGTCCTGAAATAAAGATCAAGAAAATGAGAGTGCTCTCATGTCAAAAGCTGAGGCCAGCAGTTTATAAGGCTACAAACAGCTACACAGAGCATTACCCTTTGCCAATATTGGTTTTATTTTTTTAACATGTTATTAGCCCCCAGAGTCTCATCTGTGAAATGGGTGGCCATACAAATCAATCAATCAAACAAACAAACAAACACAGTGTAGAGGAGAGCAGGGACTGTTGGGAAGGAAGGAAGGAAGGAAGGAAGGAAGGAAGGAAGGAAGGAAGGAAGGAAGGAAGGAAGGAAAAAAAAAAGGAGAGAAAAAAAAAGGAGAGATGGAAAGGAA